TGGTGGTTTAATATGCAAAATAGAGGTACAGTATTCTCTTTCCTGACATTATTTGCATTTGATTAATAATAATAATAATAATAATAGTAATAATAATAATAAAATATCTGTAATAGAAATAATTATAGTAATATTATTCAAGCAAAAACATTACTACATAGTTTAACCCCGGCATTGCACATAACATCATATAATGTTCAACTGGTGGCGCACATCACATCCTATGATGTGGTACAGTACTTTGTAATTGTTGAAACTCCATTGGGTACTTGGTGGCACACATCACATCCTATGTGGCGGTACATAACCTTGTAATTGCTGAAACTGCATTGGGCACTTAGTGTTCTCAATTGGTATTTGAGGCCTCCAGTAAACATCTATTGTCAACCAATGTCTGTTTTTTTTTAAAGAGCGCTGTTTGTCGACAGAATTGTATTTGTGCTGCTTTTTCAGCTATGTTTTCATTCCATGTTTTCATTTTACTCTTTATGCTCAATTAGTATTAAGCTTTAGTCATTTAAGTTTTTCATGCCCGAAACGCTTTGCGTAATAGTGGCTTTAGGCATTGTATGTACTAGCTCTATCTATAAGTCCACCAATCTTTGTAAAAATTTCTTGTATGTATGTACCTTACCTAAATAAACATTTATTATTATTTATTATTATTTATCATCTTGAAAATTACATGATTTTGGGACAGTGTTCCTATATTCGGCATGATTTTTAACAATAAAGAAAGACAAAAATCTTGAATTTTTTTTACTATTTCACTGTGTGCATACAGAAATGCCTCGTGTAACCCTTGCACTATGCAAAGGTTAATATAGTTTGGGCTAACTACAATAATGGAGCATTACTTGAAACCTCAGTAGCTCTGTGGGCCTTATGGCATAAACATCACAGGGCAACCCCCAAATATCAGACTCAGACTTCCTGGGCCTAACAGGAACCATGACCATCTTCAGGCCTCCTGAGAGAAAGGAGGGAAACATGTAGGGATAATAGGTCAACTCACTACTGCAGTAAAATGCTTGGAAAATCCCTCAGTTTTCGGTCCATTTTCTGGCTGTTTTAGCCGGTGGTTCTGTCTGGGTCATGTATTTTGCCCTTCTTTTCTGTGGTGCATTTTCTGCTATCAAATGTGGTGGTTAGGGCACCCTCCAGGATCGTTTCCGGGTTCCTTTGGGTTCTTCGGTTTCGTTCCGGAGATTTTCTTCCATTTAGGTTTCCCCTTTGGAGTTTTGGGTGGCCCTTGGTGGTTACTTCCTGAGCGCCAAGGCTTCTGCTTATCGAGGTGGGCCTTTGGTGCAGATTTGTGCCAGTGCCTCCTCCTCCTCCTCTTCTTCCTCTGGTCGGCAGCTCTGCTCACCAGATGTCTTATTGCTTTTTCTTTTCTTCGTTTATTTTATCATTTTCTGTGGGGAGCCCCTTCGGCTCCCTGGAGCTATCCTGGCTGATATGAATGTATTAGCCCATGGCATTAGTCAATGCGAATGGAGTTCTTGCCTAACAGGGGACCACGAGCCAGAACCTGGCCCCTTCAGAAAGGCGCGAGGAGCAATGGCCTATAGAAACCCCCATGTGGTTGGAAGCATTCTATGTCTGCCATCGACCAGGTCAAACACCCAGAAAGGTAGGTGCTCCAAACAACCCTATCTAGTTAAAAAAAATTGCTACTGAAAGCCGAACTGTTGAGCAGAACTCCCCAAACTAAAAACGAGCAAATAAACATGATGTCACAACCGTCACTGCGCAGCTGTCTGTGCAGCTACCCCCCCCCCTCCCCGGGAGGGGGAAGGGGAAGCCTATCCACCCCCAGTTTTGTGACTGATGTGAGACCTGACAGTCGTTGTGCTTAAGACTCTTTGCCATTACCTGCATGCCACGGCCTTGGTGGTCAGGGACGAGCTTTGGGTTAACCTAGTTCCCTTCTTTCCTGTTCTAAGGTTCGGGTCTCCCAAGTCATCCGCAGGATTATTCGGTCCAGCCAGTCTGCGGTCTATCCTCGGGCCCATGACGTTCGTAAGTTTGCTGCAGTGTCTGCCATCTTTGGTAACATGTCTTGGGCTGAAATTCGGGCATGGGGTTTTTGGAGGTCAAACAGGGTTCTGGCTGCTCGCTATCTAGTCAATGTTCCTGGCCCCTAGTCGGGCATGTGTCGCATTGGGTCGGCAGTTGCAGCCACTTGTCTCGACTCTGAGTTGAGGAGCGAGTGGCGACCGCCTCCCAGATAAGAACCTCTTGTTTTTATCTTTGGTTAAGTAGCTCTGAGGAGCCGAAGGGGCTCCCCCCAGAAAACCAGCATTAAATGTAATGAAACACCATTTTATGGGTGAGATCGGGAGGCTCTCTGGCAACCCTCCCTTCCTCTGATCAGTGATTTTTGCAGTCTTTGACATCCAGCCTCTGAACTGTTGGTGGATAGCTGGCATGGGATGTCTGAAGCTCCTCCTTCCCCCTCCCGAGGAGGGAGGAGCTGCACAGACAGCAGAATAGTGAAGGTTGTGACATCATGCTTGTTTGCTAGATTTTAGTGGGGAGTTCTGTTCAACAGTTCGGCTTTTAGTAGCAATTTTCTAACCAAATTGGGATTGTTTTGAGGCACCTACCTTTCTGGGTGCCTGACCCGGTTGATGGCAAACATAGAATGCTTCCAACCACATGGGGGTTTCTATTGGCCATTGCTCCTCGTGCCTCTCTGAGGGTACAAGGTTTTGGCTTGTGGTCCCCGGTAGGCCTAAGAACTCCATTCGCTTGACTTGACACGGTCTAATGCTTTCATATCAGCCCGGATGGCTCCGGGGAGCCTCCGGGTCTCACCCAGAAAATGGCATTTCATTACATTCAACGCTGATTTTTTGGTTGTGGTCATGTATGGGATTTTCTGGTCCTCAGGACTGGTTATCTGTTTACAGGGCTTGTGGCCCTGAGCTCTACATTCCTGACTGCTTTATAATGTTTATAGTCAGAGCATCTTATAGGTGGTCTGTCTGGGTTTTGTACTTTGGCTCTGACTAGGTTACTCCTCAGCCTCGCCATGCTTGCTTTATTTTGGCATTTGACATTCTTGGCTCCTGGCCCATATCTTCTGTCTTCTCAGAAATGCAGGCTTCCTCTGCTGAGGTAATGTTGTGAGTTATCTTGGGGGAGCTACTGAAGGGGCCTTCCTAGAAATCAATTATTGAATGTAATGCGCATAATTTTCAGGTGGGATCCTCGGTTGCTCTCAGTTCTTGCCCTGTATTCTTCTTCCCTATGGGGGTGGATGTGTTTGGTTCTATTGGATCATGGGTGGGTGGGTTTGCTAGAGTTTCAGGTGACTTGGAGTCATCTAGTGACATTCAGGCACATCACAGTTAGGGTATTTATCCTGTGGAAATGGTCATTTGTTTTGTTACCTTTGGAAAACTAATTTTCTTGAAGCAGTTGCATGTTTTTTGCACTAAGGCTATTTCTTCTTGGGTTGATATCCAAACCTCAAGCTCCACTGACTTGTAGAGCCAAGTTGAGATCCTGGCTGTCGGTAAGCAGGGGCAGGTCTTGGAAGACTGGTGCAGCTCACTCTCTTCTTGAGGTTATCTTGAGATGATTTCGGGGCTTTTTAGTGTCCCTGCGGCCCGGTCCTCGACCAGGCCTCCACCCCCAGGAAGCAGCCCGTGACAGCTGACTAACACCCAGGTACCTATTTTATTGCTAGGTAACAGGAGCATAGGGTGAAAGAAACTCTGCCCATTGTTTCTCGCCGGCGCCTGGGATCGAACCTAGGACCACAGGATCACAAGTCCAGCGTGCTGTCCGCTCGGCCGACCGGCACTAAGGATTAGCTTGTCAAAGTATTGATTGCTCCACCATTCAACATATGATTTTTATTAACAAGTGCTTAGGCAAGCATCACTGTCCTACTATCAGAGCCTATATGAGAGGTTACTGAATAAAAGTAAAGAGCAAATTAAATTCACAGGATGGTTTGTTGTACATGGAATGTGAATTGCTGTATGTCTTCTGTCCTACATAAGTAAACTTTAGTTAGACTATGAGGATATCCTTCAGTGAATGATAGTAAGCTTCAGATATATCATGCCAGTTTACAGTTTGAGTGCCCAGTGTTGACAAAAATTGATTAATAAAAGGAATGGAAAAGGCTGCCTTTCTTTGCGACAGGTTGAATCAATGTGTTTATTTATCAGAGAAATTTCAGAGAGTAGAAGGGGAACAGTAATTGAAATTGTGTATTTTACTTAATTGGTAATTGAAATTAATTAGTAATTAAAAATGTGCACTTTATTTCAGTGTTATATTTTAAGGAACAATTAAAAAATTGGATGACAGCAGTTGTTAATGCTGTATAAGAAAGATCTTTTAAATTGGGGGAGAATTGCTTAAGCTTATTACAATTTTATGATTACTCTTTGCCAGAGTGATTCTGGGGTGTTGGCAACACTACCACTACAGTCAAGACCAGTCTTCCTGGTGATGGACAGCCTGGACCAGAATCCATTTTTTCTCTTGCAGCATATTGCTGCATCCAACATTGTAGCTCAACCTCAACATGATGTTTCCCCAGAACTTAAGACTTTGACCAGACCACCATCAGCTGATTCCACCCCACCGTCAACTGATTCCAACAACTCAGGTGCAGTTAGTGGTATACTTGTACAGATGATTTTTATTAACCAAAAAGTTCTGCTTCTTTGAATATACATTAATAATTATTGCATGAAGATAATAGAGCTAAGCCTTCTAGGAGCTCAGGAAGACATACCTTTGGGGGCAGCAGAATATCTAATTCAAAAATAAATATGTAAATAAGGTAAACCATACTATCCCCTATGGAGCAATACTTAAAAGTACAAAATGAGAACAAATTAATAAGCTGCTCAAATTACTGCATGAAGATGATAAGCTAAGCTCCTTAAGCTAAGCTCAATAACCTAAGCTCTGCTTGTTATTAATTTGTTCTCATGGAGCTTGGCTTATATTATCATCCCCCTCCCTGTCCAGCTCGTTGTTGCCGTGGAGGGGTTTGGTGGGCGGCTGCCGGAGTGTGATGCTCCTTAGGGGTGGTCCCCTGTCCTTTTGTAGCCTTGTACTCCTGCTGCTGTCCTCACAAATTTTGCTGGACGCCTTTTCCTTTTCCTTTTGTTTCGTTTTTCTCCCCCCTCTTCTCCTTTCTCGTTGTCATTTCCTGCTGACCTTGTGCCTGTTTTGATCATTCTTTTGGCCTTCTTTTGTTTTGACGCCCAGATGTTTGAGAAGGCATACTCTTGCACTCGTAGAACTGTAGTACCCAACGTCTCGAGCGAGGAGAACCTTTTATTCTCAATCCCCCTTCCGTCACTGAACCCGATCTTGACGGACTGACGGTTCTTAAGGTGGCGTTTGTGGGGCGTATACTCACGACGCACCCCTAGGGGGCCCCGGCATGATCGGTGATAGCCTCTTGTTGGGTGTCCTGCCTCTAATTGTGGCTCCATGATGGGTATGGGGGCACATTTGTGAATGAAAATGTCTCTTTTCGTCTTTGTCTTTGAATGCTCCTCTTTTCCCCTCTCAGGCTCGTGGGGTGGGCGACCAAGCCCCCGAGTCGGACTGTATTGGAAGACCGGGCTCTGTAGCCCCTGCTGCGTTGGCCCCCGACCTTTCTCCTCCTCTGATCCTCCTGACTTCTTCCCTCGGCTCCCCTCCCTCCCTCTGTGGTTGGGTCGAGCCACAAGCCCCCAGTGGTGACCACTTCGTCCCCAGGCGCGGCTCAGGCTCTCGTTGTGACTACTGTGCCTTTTAACCCCTCTTTCTCTGGGGGTTCTCAACTCCGTCTGCGCCACGGCCGCACACGCTCGATTCCTTCCCGTACTGATGCGTATCAGGCCTTGTTTGGTCCCGCTTCATGGGCCAAATACTTTGATCTCCTCCCTCTTGATTCTACGCCTCCTGACGATTTCTCCCTCCATAGGCATCTTGTTGATTCCATAGACGCCTCTGTTACCTTCAACCCCACTCGTCTCGGTACATGTGTCGTTACTGCTCCTTCTCAGGATGCAGCTTCCCACTTGGCTGCCTTATCCTGCCTTGGCGAAACCCCTGTTCGGGTCTCAAAGAACGCTCTGTTGAAGGCCAGTGTTGGCACTATTCTCCTCCTGCCCCATGTTGCAACCGGTGTTCAGAATCTGCAGGACTGCCACGATGATATTCGGCATATCCTCGACGCCTAAGGCCATTCTGTCCTCCAGGTAGACACGTTTACTCGTCCCCCTTGTGGTCGTCGTCGTCAGCCCCTTCAGGTTGTGCAGATTACCTTTGATGGTCGGACCCTTCTGCCCTCTGTCATTCCTGTTGGTGCCAGGTGCTCTGTCCAGGAGTCCTCTCCTCGGCTCTGTAATAAGTGCTGGAGGTTTGGGCATAGTGCTCTTTGCTGCTCTGGAACTGTCTATCTCTGTCCTTTTGTGTGGGGGCGAAGGTCACTCTAAGTGGGAGTGCACTTCTCCCCAGACTCGCTGCCTCAATTGCTGTGAGACCCACTCTACCTTCTCCCGTGCGTGTATACAATACAAGCTTGAGGCAGCCGTCCTCAACTTGAAGCACCGGGAGCGTTTATCTTTTCCTAAGGCAAGGCGCCAGGTTTTCCGGCTCCCACCTTATGCTAGCGTCTCTTATGCTTGCGTGTTGCGCTCTTCCTCTCCTCGTCCTTCCCACCTTCCTCAGACTCAAAACCGTTTCCGGGCCTTGGACCCTGATACACCCACCTCCTCTGTTCCTTTGAGTACTGTCCCGAAGGGTCCCCCTCCTGGTCCTCTGTCTGGGGTTCCCTTTCTTTCTGCCCGGTCTGTCATGCCTCCTGTGTCTTCTTCCTCGTCTTCCTCCGATCCTCCTTCCCATCCTCCTCCTTCGTCTATTGGCTCTCCATGCCTCCTGTCAGTACGGGCTGATGTCCATCGCTTTCCCAACGGCCGTCATGTATGTTCTTGTTCAGCTTCTGTTGAAACACTGGAATCCATTCCCCAGTATGTAGTTGCTGGGACACCTGTCTCTTTGAGTCAGAAGCGTAAGCCTGGCTCCTCTCCTTCCTCCTCCCCGGCGGGAGGAGGAAAAGGTTTCGCTTTCTTCCTTGCCCCCTACTTCTGACTCTTTCACTCCGTCCCCTCCCGTTTCGGTGGTTACACCCCTTGTTCCTGCTATGGAGGTCTCTTTGGCCCCCCGCTTCCCTCTCGGTTGGTGCCCTTGCTGAGGTGCATCTCCTGGTTTCTGCACTCTTACCCCTCCTGTGCTTCCTGTTCCTCTTCACCACCTCCCTCTTTCTGTCCGGTTATCTCGCTTACAGGATTCTCTTTCAGTTCGTATTTCTAATATTTCTACTCGTGTTGTTCCTTCTTTGCCCCCGTGGAGAGTCCTCCTTCCGCAGTTTTGTACATCCTTAACCCGCATCACTAAAGCATTTACCCCTCCTATAGTTCTAAAACGCCTTTTCCTTGAGCACTTTACTTCTCACTCCTGCTTCGTTTCCGTCTTCACCGATGGGTCTAAGTTTGCGGACGGTGTTGGCTACTCTGTTGTTTTTCCTGATTGCACTTATATGTGTCGCTTACCTCCAGAGACTAGCATCTTCACAGCGGAATTTTATGCTATTCCCTATGCTCTTCGTCTCCTGCTTTCTCGTTGTCAATCTTCCTTTGTAGTTGTTGTTGACTCTCGTAGTGCCCTCATGGCTCTCGGGTCCTTTAATCTGATTCATCCAGTAGTTGTCGAGAACCAGCATTGGCTGTTTCTTGTTCACAGTAAATTTAAGTCGGTTGAGTTTTGTTGGGTTCCCAGCCATATTGGTGTCTCTTTAAATGAGTGTGCGGATGCTGCCGCCAGGGAAGCTGTCCGCTCTTGTCCCATCTCACGTAAAAGTATTCCTTATTCCGACTTTTACCCGGTTATCCATTCCTTCGTCCTTACCCGTTGGCAGGCTTATTGGTCGTCTGTTACTGGAAACAAACTGCATACTCTTAAGAATTGTGTGTCCTCGTGGCCGTCCTCCTACCACCATAACCGGCGATGGAAAACGGCTCTGGCGAGTTTGCATATTGGCCATACTCGCTTAACTCATGGTCACTTGATGGAGCACCGCCCTGCTCCTTATTGTCCAAGTTGCATTGTCCCTCTTACGGTCGTGCATATCCTTGTTGAATGTCCTGACTTCCAGGACGAGTGTGTGTCTTGTTTTCTGACCGTCCCCAGCGGTCACTTGTCCCTCGGTAGTATTCTTGGTGAATCGGATACTTTTGATATCGTTTGCCTTTTGCGTTTCTGTTCTCCTATTGGCATCCTTGGTGATATTTAGTGCCCTCTGATTATCTCGCACATTTGATGGTGCTACATAGCCTTCCCGGTTTGGTGCCTTCTTTTGATAATTACTTACTTATATTATCATCTTCATGTAGTAGGTTGAGTAGCATATTAATTTGTTCTCATTTTGTACTTTTAAGTATTGCTCCATAGGGGATAGTATAGTTTACCTTATTTACTTATTTATTTTTTAATTAGATATTCTGCTGCCTCCCAAAGGTATATCTTCCTAAGCTCCTATAAGGCTTGTGAAATTGCAGTCACACAAGCTTGACTTTGAAATGCAAGTGTGACAGGGAACCATCACACAACTGCAGTGTCATTGACAGGGTGTTCTTTTGTGCAGTGGTCAGTGCAGTTGGTGTGGAGCGTTTATGTACTGGCATGCGCCAAGAGGGCAGATTGCTATAGTAATGTTAATGGGCGGAGCAACAGTTCGTATGGAAGTTTCAGGGATTGTACAATAATGTTGAATGCCTCAGAGGAGATGCTCTGTATTCCTCTCCACTGATTAAGAGAGCCATAGTACATTGATATTTATTAGTCATTATATAAATATTCCTGTACTGTGTATATCTTCTCACCTGTGTATAAATATGGATTCGATACAGTACATATAGTGTAAAATGTTATTACATTTCATTATATCATGTGGTGATATATTAGTTATCATAATAGTACTAGTACTGTAATTATTTTCAGACCTCTCTAAATTGAGCGGTTGGAGTGGGTGGTGGGTGTTCGTGGCAGTGTTGCTGGCCATCATGCTCGTGTTTGTCATTATCATGTGCATTGTGTCCCATTACCACAGGCCAAAATTAGAGGTCAGTTATTTTTCTATCTTGTGTGTGTAGGGGGGGAATGGAGGTAGGGAAAGGACAGATAATAATAATATACAATGTAACCTCAATTCCTCAATTCAGATAATTATATGAGACCAACTCTGATTTGATTTGTTGCAGTGAGGGATTTATTGCAATCAGAAATGCATTCAGGAAGCATTTGCGTAATGGAATAGATTACTCAACTGTACAGTAATGAATCTTGCTGTATTTTTATTACTATAAAAAAAGACATACCATATATCTTGAATCCCTTTTGAGTCACCATTTGTACTAGCTGTTACTAGGATAGGTATGCTTAACTACTGGGTGGAATGCTTGCTGCATTGTTTCTTTACTTTATTTGAACCTTGTAGTGGTCTGTTTTGCTTTGCATCCTTTTCGTGAGGGGGATCATGAATTCCCTGCTCCCTGTGCCTCTGAAGAGGGCCAGGTTTTGGACTCAGGGTCTCCGGTAGGCTATTAAAGGACTCACAAGAGCCGATAAGACTTGCATGTGGAGCTATCTCGGTGCAGATTGCTACTGGAAGCCACTGTTCAACTTCTACAGAAAAGACTTAGATATTTGTTTGTTTTTGCATTATTCTTTCTGGGGGGGAGCTGCATCGGCTCCCCGGAGCTTTCCCAGGCTGATATGCTAATGTCAGACTTTGGCATCAGTCATGTGTATGGAGTTTTTAGGCCTACCAGGGACCACAGCCAGAACCGGGCCCCCTCAGAGAGGCAAGGGGAGCAATGGTCTATAGAAACCCCCGTGTGGTTGGAAGCATTCTATGTCTGCCATCGACTGGAACAGGCACCCAGAAAGGTAAGCTCCTCAAAACAAACCCCTATTCTGGTTAAAATTGCTACCAAAAGCCGAACTAGTGGATAGAACTCCCGAACAGAAAACAAGCAAACTAGTGTGACGTCACACGTCGCCGCGCCGCTGTCTGCGCAGCTCCCCCCTCCCCGGGAGGGGGAAAGGGGAGCCCCCGACCCTTCACGCTGGCTACTCACACCTCAGTTCTTGAGGCTGATGCTATAGGCGAAGGTCGTGTGCTCTGGCTCCAGTGTTGCTACAGCACTGTGCTTCGTGTGTGGTGTTTGTTTTTGTGGGTGCGAGAGCCAGGCGTTATCTTCAGTACTCGGGCTGCATGCACCTAGGGCTTACCTTCCCTAGGTGCCCTGTAAGTACTGCCCTTGGGGCCACCTTCCACAGGCTCCTCGGGATCTGCCTCTGCTGGTCCGTTCTACCATTCGGTTTTTCAGCTGCCTATTGGGCTCTTGGGTGTTCTGTTCTCCCTTGTTACCTGCAGGTAAGAGGCAGTTTGCACTGGTAGGGGTGCAGGGTGCTGCACAGCTTTGTATTCCCGATATAGTGGCCGGCTCTGTTCCTTGGGGTTCGCTGTCCTCTTGCGTTTTTTTTTTTTTTTTTTTTTTTTGCCTGGTGGGGGTTCTGCCCTATTATTTCACTGGTGTTTGCCCTTCCACGGTTCTCAGTGGCACCCTGCTAGGTCCCTGTGAGTGTACACATCCCTTGGGTACAGCTATAGAAGTTCGCTTGGTAGTTTTGGGCGCCAGTTAGCAGCACCCTGCTGGGACTACCTGAGCGCGAGTCCTCTTAAAGTAAATGCTCAGGACCTTGGGAATCCCCTAGGGGGCGTGTGGGTCCAATGGATGTGACCCCGGAGTCCCCGCTCGCTGTGTGCGAGTTTGAGGGTTGCTCGGTCCCATTGTCTCAGGGTGACTCTCATTGTTTTTGCCTCTGCCACGCTGCCTGTTGGGTTGGTGATACTTTTGACCCTGAGTCCTGTGAGTGTTGCTGCTTGCTTGTGACTCCATTTACCCAATCCTCTGATTCTATTCGGGTCCAGGCGGCGCATGTGTTGCAAGCTAGGTTTCATCTGTTGCAACACGCTCGGTTGGTTGCTCACCCGGATGCCCCGGGGCTGTCCCCGCTTTGCTTTTCGAGACCCGGACTTGGGGGTGGGGGTCGCTTCGATCCTGGTTCAGTTCGCTCCTCCTCGTCCTTCCCCTTCGGGGAAGGGGGGGGGCAGAGGCATTCAAGTCTTGTCTCCCGGCCGAAGCTTCTGGGTCTGACCAGTGGGCCCCCATTCTTCTGGCTTCTACGACTGCTCCGTCCTTGTCTTGTGGGGTCGGTGCTTGGGAAGAGGACTCGGCCCCGGGTCCTGCTGTGAAGGACCTCGAGGCTGAGGAGGTGCTGACTTGGGGGGCCTTGGGCCCCACTGGACCCTGCCTGGGTTTTTCTTCCTTCTAAACTGGGCTTGTTGTTACAAGGTGTGGGGGTTTTCTTTTAACCCCTCTGCATACGTGTTGGATTTGGTGTTGGTCCCTCCCCGGGTTCGGTTACGTGTTCACCCGGGTGCGTCGTTTCCGTCTTTCTGGAGGTTTTCGGCTTATCGCATCCAACCTGGTGTGGTGCGGGCGGCCCTTGAAGCTTACCTCCTGCGTGACCCAGATTATGCCTCGGAAATGGATCCGTCCGAGTTCAGGTTTGGGACTTCGTTCCCTTTCTGGCTTCATTACGAGGTTCCGGAGTCTTCCTGGCTAGCGGACTGCCCCTTGTTTGGGCAGTGCAAGTTTCTTCTCCTGCGCTCTGTCAGGTCATCTTCGAGTGGGTTCGCTTGGGCGTCGTCGAAACGACGTCGTCCCTCAGATGGGTTTCCCGTCTGTTTCTGGTCCCAAAATGGGACTGTACGGACCTGCAGTTCATTCTGGACTTGTCCCGTCTGAACCCCTGGATTCATTGCCTCTCCTTTCGGATGACTACGCTGTCTCAGGTTCGGCTCCTCTTGGAGCCGGGTGCTTGGATGGTGTCCCTGGACCTCCGAGACACTTATTGGCATGTCCCGATTCATCCGAGGTTCCGGGACTGGCTCGGTTTTGTTGTGGGGCATCTGAGTTACCGCTTTCGTTGTCTCCCGTTCGGGTTGAACCTGGCACCTCGCGTGTTCACGCGTCTTACGTGGGTCGTGGTGGCCCGTTTGCATCTCTTAGGTGTTCGGGTGTTGGCCTACCTCGACAACTGGCTGGTTTGGGCTCCCAGCCAGTCTGCTTGCATACTAGCCAGGGATTTGGTTCTTTTCGAGCTGGGAGGGGGGGGGCCCGGACCTCACCACGCTAGCTGCATAGTACTCCAGTTCGGAAGCTAAGCCTCAACCAAAGCAAAAAAACAACCGACCGGTGGAAGGGAGGGTTGCCAGGAAGCCTCTAGGGCTCACCCAGAAAATGGCGTTTCATTACATTCAACGCTGGTTTTCTGAGAAGAGCCCCTATGGCTCCCTGGAGCTTCATACCCAAAGAGAAGGAAAAGAGAGGGACAGACCCGAAAGGCGGCCGCCACAAATTCCTCAACGCGAAGTCGAGACAACAGGCTGCAACCTGTGACCCAAAGCAACACAAGAACGCCCTGGAGCATACACACACACCAAAAAACGGGCGGCCAGGACCCTGTGTGCCCTCCAAAATCCTTGTGCTTGAATATGAGCCCAAGACATGTTACCAAACACAGCAGCCAAAGCTGCAAATGTCCAAACATCACGGGCGCGAGGATAGACCGCACAAAACCGCACCAAAAGGCTAGCCTCGACAACAAAAACCAAGGCCCCGGTACGACCACAATACGTGTCAAGATGCAAAAAGAGCAGCCTGCAAGCCAGGAAGACCCCAGAACCCCAGAAGGCAGAACCGGGTCACACACGAGGTAACTAAAAGTCTCCTGAACCCCCCAAAGGGGGCCAAGAGGAAGAAACCTCCGGAACGAAATCAAAGAACCCAAAGGAACCCGGAATCGAACCCGGGGGAGCCCAAACCACCACATTTGCCGGCGGAAATGCACCACAGGAAGGGCTAAGTACAGCACCCAGACAGAATCCTTCCCCCCCTTCCCCAGTGAAACGGCCAACACGGACCAAAAACCTAGGGGACACAAGGTGTAGGAGCAAGCATAAACAGACAGAGACACTGAGCCCAAACCCCAGGGCCCAGACCCAAACAAACAGAAAAAGCAAAAAAATGGTGTAATTAGTTAAAAAAATAAACTACTGTACTGTAATTACGAACATATTATTATTTTGCTTTATTTTGCGTATGTAACCATATAATGGTTATGCATAATTAAAATCTATCACTCTGATAAAGTGGTGTTCCTATTCAAAGTATCAGGTATGGTACTATTGTCCATTTTGTAACAATATTTTCACTGTTGTGCCTGATGAAAGTATCCCTCTCAGACTTATTTCTAGGTCTCATGTTCTTGTTCTAGTGCTCAGTAAGGCATTACTGGATATTTAAATTTCTCAGTAAGGCATTACTGGATATTTAAATTTAAAACCGAACACACTACAGCGCGGCAGTAGTGTGTTATGTTTGATTGTTTGCTTGTTTCCTTGGGATTGAAGGGAGTTTTACCTCTCTGTTCGGTTTTTGTTGTTAGTTTCTTACCATGTGGGGTTTTTGTTATGCCTACCTTTCTGGGTGCCTAACCTCGGTCGATGGCAGATAAGGAAAACCCCCAACCACAAGAGTTTTTTCCAGGGCCATTGCTCCCTGAAAACTCTGAAGGGGCCAGGTTCTGGCTCATGGTCCCTGGTAGGTCTGAACTCCATAGCTAGTGTTCCGGTCTAATACATTATCCTGATAAGCTCCAGGGAGCCTCCGAGGCTCACTCAGAAAGTGGCATTTCATTACTGTACATTCAACGCTGTTTTTTTTTCTCTCCCCACACAGGCAAGGGGAAGATCATAGCTTCACAATAGGGGTTCAAGAAACTAATATGGTTATATATTGAGAATGTACTTAATTGGCAGTTATGTCTCTTATTTTTGTAAATTCTTAAGAAAACTATACAGTACCTGTTCTTCTTCAGAAATACCTGGGGGGTATGAACTTCATAACAGAAGCAATCCAGGAAGATGTGGAGATACAGTTACAGCCAGCGAGACGACCTCTCCTGATGAGGTCTGTGTCCCACATCAACACTGAAGATCCCAAGTCTGCTGTAAGATGCTCACTCGGTCTATTCTGTGGCATTATGATCACTATCTGTTCATGACTGATGATATACAATACTTTGTGACTTTCATCAAGTAATTTTCCAGAAGTAATTAGAAGTGGAGGAAACTTTAAAAAGCATCTCAGCCAGGTTTCCAGCAAAATCATGTACAGAGGAACCTCGGTTAATGAATTGAATCCATTCCGGCACCGAGCTCGTCTTGCGAAACGAGTTTCCCCATTTAAAATACTGGAAATTCAATTAATCCGTTCCACCCCTGAAAAACATCAATATGAAATTTTATAATGTAATTATAATACATGTAATTATTTATAAATATTTTGTTTTACTGTTTTCAATTGTACTTTACCTTATAAAGAGTCATTGCTGGCTTGAAGGAAACGATGGGGAGGTGGGAAGAAGAAGAGGGGTTATGGTGGAGGAGAGGGGGTTACTACATTGTGGGTTACAAATTGTAGTCACAAAACCACAAAAAAAAACAAAGAAAGAACAAATAAATGCAGAGGGATGCTTATCCTACGCGATAAAACAACAACACTGTTGTCGGAGGCGTCCGAGAATTTGCGAGAACTAGTGGGAATGCTAGGAAGCACCACGTGGTTTTCTCGTTAACTGAGCAGAAGCTCATCAATTGAGACAAATTTTCTACGAGTGGCTCGCTCAGTACCTGAAATGCTCGTAGATGGGACTGCTTGTCACCCAAGTTTCCTCTGTACAGTACAGTACTGTATATTGTTTTTTTTCAACATACTCATTGTATTGGCAGTGTGTGCTTCTACTCTGATGTTTTTAGTGATCAATTATGTGTATTGCTTATGAGGAGTTTCCTTGTAAATTACAAAAATTACTTTCAGGTCAAATTCATTTATGTATGCAATTCAGGCATTTAAAATATAATTTGCATAATCATAGAGAAAAATTCTTAATAAAGCTGGAGCTACTCTTTACTTATGAAGAGATTATTATTGTGAAAAGCATTTTTAGCTTTTGTGTCCATTTATTTGTATTCATTATCTTATTGTGTTGACTATATGTGCATGATCATGACCAGGCATGGAAGATGCTAAGTTATTATACAACCTACATTCACACTGACTCAAACGCTCCACTCATTATCCCCAGACTTTCTTCACACAGTTCTGCTCCTTTTGCTGTGTTCAAGAAGCTTTTTTTTTTTATTTGAGAATACAGTTCTAGTTTATATCACAAATACATTTGATTAGATTGGCTACAATTCACAAGTTTTACACAGGCACCCTTGAGACTGTGGAATGCAGTAGCATCAGGAGAACAAGAAGAGGTGGAGCAAGTATTGGCAACACTAAGCCCAAGTCCCCAGGTGACACTTGATGGTTGGGACACCTCACCATATGAAGAATCTCACCGCCGAGGTCACAGTAATGTCCTACGTGTGCTAGAGGCTTTTATGAACAAGCGGCCAGATGTTCCACACAATGATATGATTCTGGGTGTTTTACAAGTAATGTTTTTAGTTTGTTATAAGGCCAAGTTTGAATTAATTAAAGTGAATACAGTATACTGTACAGTATTACCTATATGGGTTTGGGTAGATAATCACTATAGTCATAAAACTATTCTGAAGTATGAAATCAAGACACTGGAGGTTTTAACACTGAGTAAGTGGGCAGCATTGTTTAACTTTTGTTTTGCAATAAAATGGTAAGTGTTGGAGCGAGTAGAGTCCATGCACCGGTTCCCATAATTATAAGAGCAGAATCTGATAGATGTATATTACCTTATACAGTATACTTAAATATGAGTTTTGCATTCAAGTTGTCTGAGTTGAGTGTATATATTGCCAGCTGAATAGGACTTTCTTTTGGGATTGATCTGTATTTCAACATGTGTATCATTTGTTTCCTTGGCACAGTTTATGTTTTGACTAGTGTATATAAAGTGGCCAGTTGAATCTGTTCTGAACACAAATTGACAGTGTACATCTTATTATTTATTTTGCAGTTATCACAATTCTTTAATCTTGTCTCTGTAAGTTTATCAAGGACTATGAAGGACTGGAGAGATTTATTTCACAAAACGATTCATGTAGAGTAATGGAAAATATGATTTTATTATTTTTTGCCAAAATATGAAAATGTTTTATTTTAGTTTAGTTTATCAGGAACTAAAATAATAATACTCTAATTACTAGGCCCACACAAAGAAGGTTGATGCAGTGTTTGCAGCTGCAAGTGGTGGACAGTACCGATATGCAGGTGGTGTTGATGTGCTGCTTCGGGCCTACAGTCTCCCGGGCACAATACTGGACCAGCAAGGCCGCTCTCTCTTGCACTATGCTGCCTCTGTTATGTTAGCTGATGTAGGGCCTCTCTGGCTTGCACCTGACATAAGGAGTATGGTAGAGAGTCATGGCGTGTATGTTAATGCTGTTGATTTTAATGGTTAGTAAGGAATATTCACTGTTTGCTTTATGATACTAATTTTTCTGGGAGGGTGTCATTTCCCGCTCAGTAGTTCCCCGTATCTAAGTGCTAGTCAAGCCAAGCCTTAGGGAGATGCACCAGCCTGCCGAGACCCACCCTTGCCTACTGGGAGCCAAGCCTAGAATTTACCTCTTTTTAAGACGAGGGGAGCTTTGGGATCAGAGATCAATCCAAAACTGAGAAAACCCACTAGATAGCATAAGTTTAATAAAACAAGCAACTGCTTGTACAGCGTGTATTAGGTACAGTACCCCAGACGTAACAAGCAAATTATCATTGCCATAAGGTAAATACCCTTTGTATAATGTGCCTGACTGCCACCAGGTGGCAACCCAGATCACCTGAGCCAGCCTGCTCTTACTCACTCACTCACTTGATCATAATATTATATGCATGGAACCTCTGACAATGCCCACTCTCTGCTTCATGTTTAACCTTTCAACTGCGCACCCAACCAAAGTTGTTACAGTGATGATGCACACTACAGCCAGGGCAGCCAGGGTTGTTTTTAGGTTTAGCATAAGATTTAAAATTCCTGCAGGTATATGGGGCTCACATCTTGTTCTATATGGCTTCAGTAAACAGATGCCATCTTGAAAAAAAAAGTCTGCATCCTCCTGCCTGCAAGATCCTCAGGACTTAGAAAACAATCAAGGGTGACACATGCAGTAGGAGCTCACAGCACATTTAATAACGATGAATAAAATAAGTAACCAATTATTTTTCGATGATAATTTCATAGATGATCCTACCTGTGATAAAGACAATGTACAAGGTTCAGTTATCAGTGAACACAATGTGAGTTATGACGCAGGAGGCAGACAGCCGCAGCAGGAGGCCAATGTTTCATACATCTACGTATCATGAAACAAGCTCCTTAACACTGTAACCTTGTGGAAATGGATTCATATTCAGATTTAGTGACAGGATTGTGATGAGAATAGCAGTTCTGTGGTTAAGCTAAGTGGTGTAGGTTATCCATGCAATGTTAGTTCTACTGGGGGCAATACCAGCTCTGAGGAGTATGGGTTCCTCCTCTGTGATTCGACTTCTCTTGAGTCACTTTGCTTCTGGGTAGCACATGGGATGTGTTCTACACTGCAGGGCATCTTGATTGGAAGTGTTGTAGTTAGGTGTGCATTTGTTGCGATTGTGCCTGACCATGCTCCTGGTGGGTGTTGAAACTTTGCGCTTTCCACAAGGGTGTGCTTTAGTTACATAAGTGATTCTTCTTGTCCATGGCTGCACATGCCTTTTTCTGCCAGGTTATGGTTAAGAGTTCAGGTATGTTCAGCAGAGATGTTTTCCTTGTTCCTGGCTTGCCTGTCTTTTGCATGATGATCCAGATGGATACCTTCCTCATCCCTGTCTTTTTTTTTTTTTGTCTAGTTTATGATCTTGAATGGGTTGTGTATCATTTATTGCCAGTTCATTTCTAAAGTTGACTCCAAAGTTCTGCAGTGACTGCCATCTTTCTTGTTGTTGATATAAGTCCCTCCCTTTTCCCATCATGGTGCACTACAGCTGGCCTCTGACCTGTTTGGGGGTACTTCAGAAGGCCTGTGTCTTATGGTACTGGTGGTTGGTCTCTGCCTTCATAGTTATGGCTGTTCACCTTGGCCTTAATGACAGTGGTTTTGACCCCACTTCCTCTTTGTAGCAGCATTTTTGTTGTTGTGGGGTGGAAGGCATTGGGCAGCTTGGTGAGCTGTGGCTCACTTGTATCTCTTTGCCTCATTTTTCCAGGTACTGTACTGTATTGTGATCACAGCTGCTAAGGTCTTTTTTTTATGTTGGGTGCTCTCTGCACCTTTCACTTTTCCTTTTCAGAGGGTTCATTCTCTAAGGTAGTCTTCTTGTTGGGTTTGACATCAAGGAGTCAAGTCAGTGAGCTTCACCAGAAGAAGGGCCTTTGTTATTTTGCTATTGATTGTCATTCTCTCTGTCTTCAGTCTTGTTGGGATCTAACCACTTGCTGTGGAGCAGCCCCAACACACGTGCACTGGTAGTGATACCTTTGAATACTTTCGAAGTCTCATATGTAATTTGTACATGTCAGGAGTAATTTTCCCCAGCCAACCTGGTCATCAGGTGCAACACACATTATTCAGGCCGTGACTCTTCATAAAGATCTGCAAGTAGGCTGGCTCATGGTTCCCAGTAGGCATAAGGACTCCTCTGACTGATGACCCCAAACTAATATAGCACACATCAGATTGGATAGCTTCACAGAGTCTCTGGGGCTCACCCAAAAAAAGGCGTTTCATTACATTCAACGCTGTGTTTTTCTGGGGGGAGCCCTGTCGGCTCCCCGGAGCTATCCAGGCTGAATCGATATATATTATTAAATATGACCGAAAAAGTAAGATTAATAATTCTAACACGAATTTTCTCAATATTCCTTATGTTTCTTTTCACTGTCGATGGTAATTGAAAAATCAATTCTCCAAAATTCATTTTTATTTCTAGTCTGACAATTGACGCTTGAACACGTTTCGTAATAACTTATTACATTTTCAAAGACTTTAGTTTACACACACACATCTATAACCTGCAAACACAAAACAGAGTTCTACTGTGCTATAATTTAAACGGCTTTCATTTTATATGCCTGCATTTGGGTGAGGTGATATGTTACAACAGTTTTGGATGAGGTGAAAAACATACTTTCAACACAAGACAGAACACGAAACAATGGGTATAATATTGGGTAAGTTAAAGGGAAGAATGGAAGTAACTGCAGAGGGCCTATTGGCCCATATTTCTTGAAGCTTCTATATTGGTGCGGAGTCTTGAAGTGGGTAGAATATAGTTGTGCATTAATTGGCTGTTGATTGCTGGTGTTGACTTCTTGATGTGTAGTGCCTCGCAGATATCAAGCCGCCTGCTATTGCTGTATCTATCGATGATTTCTGTGTTTTTTGTTAAGACTTCTCTGGTGATGGTCTGGTTGTGGGAAGAAATTATATGTTCCTTAATGGAGCCCTGTTGCTTATGCATCGTTAATCGCCTGGAAAGAGATGTTGTTGTCTTGCCTATACACTGAGATCTTTGAGGCTTACAGTCCCCAAGTGGGCATTTGAAGGCATAGATGACATTGGTCTCTTTTAAAGCATTCTGTTTTGTGTCTGGAGAGTTTCTCATGAGTAGGTTGGCCGTTTTTTTGGTTTTATAGTAAATTGTCAATTGTATCTTCTGATTTTTGTCTGTAGGGATAACGTTCCTATTAACAATAGGAACGTGTTAATAATTATTGTTGAATGTAATGAAACGCCATTTTCTGGGTAGCCAGGCTCCCTGGCTACCCTCCTTCCCATCCGGTCGGCAAGATTTTTCGCGTTGGTTGAAACCTAGTTTTCGAACTGAAGGCAACTGGTGTGGTAAGGTTCGGGGCCCCCCCTTCCCCCACCTGAGGAGGGGAGGGCTGCACGGACGACCGGCGCGGCAGTAAATTGATTGTTTGATTGTTTTCCTTCGGATTGTAGGGAGTTTTCTACCTCTCTGTTCGGTTTTTGTTGTAGTTTCTTACCATGTGGGGTTTGTTTTGTTATGCCTACCTTTCTGGGTGCCTAACCCCAGATAAGGGGGTTAGGCACCCAGATAAGGAAAACCTTATGGCAGATAAGGAAAACCCCCAACCATATGGGGTTTTCCAGGGCCATTGCTCCCTGAAACCTCTCTGAAGGGGCCAGGTTCTGGCGCTGGTCCCTGGTAGGTCTGAACTCCATAGCTAATGTCCCGGTCTAACATAACATACATTAGCCCGATAAGCTCCAGGGAGCCTCCGGGGCTCACTCAGAAAATGGCGTTTCATTACATTCAACGCTGGTTTTTTAGGATATCACTAATTTCTTTGTCATCCTCTGGGTATGAACCTTCACTTATATGAATAGATCCAATACTAGCAATGGTTAATGCTTTTGATTTCACATATGAGAAGAAGTATTTTGAATTTTTCTTTATTTCCTGAATTACTTTCTGTTCTGCCTTTCTTCAGTTTGATATGAGTGTTTCAATTTCCGCTCGATTTCTTCAATCTCACTATTTAAATTATTCCTTCTTTGACGGGAAAGTCGTGTCTACTTAAGCATTTCCGTTATTTTTTCCTTCTTTTATAGTGTCGTCTGCGTTCTCTTTCTACGTTAGATTTCTTTCTGGCTTTCCTCAAAGGAACATGTTTCAGACAGACTTGATACGCTTCCGAAGTCAGTTTTTCAAGTCCTTCTGTAGGACTTGCATTATTTAAAACAGTTTCCCATGGAATGTTTGTAAGTTCCCTATTTATTTTCTCCCAGTCTACCCTTTTATTATTAAAATTGAATTTACTGAATAACCCCTCTCGCTTGATCAACATTTTAGGTCTATTCTGAGTATTGATGGTCATTTGCACTTCAATGAGCTTGTGATCTGAGTATGTGGTATCTGATATCATAATGTCCCTGATAATGTCTTCATTGTTCGTAAAGACTAAATTTAGAATATTTTCATTTCTCGTTGGCTCTGATATCTGCTGGTTGAGTGAAAATTTGTCACAGAATCTAAGTACTGTAGTTCTCTAATTTGTGGATGGTTAGGTCCCGATAGATTTCCAGGTATAATATTATTGTTTGCTATTCTCCATCTGAGACTAGACAAGTTGAAGTCACCTAGGAAGATAATATCAGGTATCGAGCTCTCCAAATTATCAAGGCTATTCTCTATTTGGTTTATCTGTTCTGTGAATTCCTCGGCCGTTGCATCTGGTGGTTTGTATATTAGAATAATCACTAAGTATATTTTCTCTATTTTTACTCACAGTACCTCTACCACCTCATTTGTAACGTTAAGGAGCTCCGAGCATACAAGGTCTTCCCTAATATACAGACTCACTCCTCCATGTGACCTAATTATCCTATTACACCTGTATAGGTTATATCCTGGAATCCAGATCTCACTTCAAGAATTCCCCATGCTGTGAAAGCTCCAAATACTTCATTTGACTCCGTGAGGAGGCCATTAAAGAACTGTACTTTGTTTGTTTGTTCTTGTTTTTAGTCCTTGTATGTTGGCAAAGATGAATGAGGTTACTCTACTAAGGACAGCTGGACTGGGAGACTTTTTTGGCAAGTTCATTATGCTTGGACATATTGAGTTTGTTCTGACCAGTGCTGATTGTTGTAGGGCAGTTGCCTGTCGTAGTTGTAGTTCCCTTTTGGTGTGTAATTGTATCTGTAATTCTGGTATGCAAGTGGGTCTGGCATCCAGTTCCATACACTCCATGCTCCTCCTTTTGAATTCTTTTTCGGTTTGGTATAAAAAATTTATCGAGTTTCCTCAAAATTCATTATTCTGCTTGCCACTCTTTATGTAGCGTTCTATGGCTTCACGTGAAAGTATGGGCAGCTGAGGTCATAGCATTTTCTGTCCTCGAGTGAGGTTTGGTACATGTCAGGATGGAAAAACCTACCAAATCGATACTGACCTTTCCTAAGCATATTTAAAAAAATTTGGGATGTGTTGGTAACTGCATTGTTGGTATGAAATAATAACAGGCCTATATTCAGAATATCAGTTGCAAATTATTTATACATTAGTGCAACTAATCAATAATTATACAACCCTTCATCTTATCATTGAAATATTTAAAATATAATACATATTACTACATTAATAAGCCTATGTACATGCTGAATAAGCCTATAATGGTATCTATTTCAGGTTGTACGGCTCTGCATGTTCTGGCTGAAACGGCAAACGTTAGTGAACGCAATACATGTTGGGACGGCAAGGCCTTAAGCGTGAAGGAGGCCTGGGTAAACTTGGCTAACTTGATCATGTCACTGGGCTGCGATCCAAGGCTGCCCAACCACCGAAACAAGTACCCTCACCAGGTGGCTCGTGAGAGTGGTAATGCGCATCTTGCCAATCAACTTGCCAAGGTCATATTTACATCTCATTTCCAATTGTACTTTGTATTATTTATAATTTAGTTTTAACTTGTGTTGCAAAATAGATTTTGCCATTAATTTTCAAATTAGTTATGAAATATTTTTCTGAATATTGCCCTTGGGCAGCATATTATCCCATTCCCTATGGAACATTGTAAACCCCAACCTGGGTCAGTGTGATTTTTAATTTCCTGACACAACAGATGGAAAGGAGACACTGGAGAATTCCCAATCCACCACTAAATGACCAACAGGAGGTACATTCCTCTACACTTAAAAATCTCCTTTAAGCATTACTTGAAATCAAATGGTCTACTACTTGTTGTCATACTCATTTTACCAACCATAACAAGTTGGCTACTTGGCCATTGTTTGCCACCTGTCGCCTAGTAACAACACCGTTAGTGTAACTCTGCAATTCTTAACCTTTTCTTGTCTCATGCGTTCTTCCAACTGCGTTCTCACCTGTGGGCTCCTACAAAAAAAAAATCAAGCTAGCAAATTTGACTGTAGCTATTGATGTAACAAATACATTAACTCATATGTAACAAGCCCTTCATTGTTATTCTCAGTTAAAACTGCATATAGAGGGAAAACAAGAGACATTCAGTTTAACACACTCATAAGTGTTTTCTATTTTGTTAGAATACAATAAAATAAATATTATTTGTGCAATAAGAAAATAAATATTTACCAGTATATACAGTGGTCCCTCGGATTATAAGCGTTCCTGGTTACAAGTTTTTCTGGTTACGAGCAGGATTTGCTCGGAAAATTTACATCGGGATATGAGCATTGCCTCAAGATACGAGGGTGTTGATACGCGTACGGGCCGACCTAGAGTGTGGTGGCACGGTGAGCGCCCCTCAGTTTGCCAGTGCCTCGTGCCTAGTGACAATCCCACCTGAATTCTTCACCAGGATTTACAGTGTTTTGTCGGATATTTGGCTATTTGAGCATAAAAGTTGTTGTTATATATCTCACAATGGGTCCCAAGAAAGACAGTGATAAGGTTCAAGGCATGAAATCGCATGTGAGGATGACAATAGAGGAAAAACAAGAGATCATTTGGAAGCATGAAAATGGTTCAAGGGTTGTTGAACTTTGTAGGCAGTACAACAAATCCACGTCAACGATATGCACTATACTTGCCAAGAAAAAGGACATTATGAGTGCTAAAGTGGCAAAAGGCATATCAACAATCATGAAACAAAGACCACAAATACTTGAGGAAGTGAAAAAGTTGTTATTAATTTGAATACACAACAAGGAGTTAGCAGAGGGCCACCAAACACTACCAGTGGAACTATACCTGCTTGATACCTGCTTGATGGGGTTCTGGGAGTTCTTCTACTCCCCAATCCCGGCCCGAGGCCAGGCTCGACTTGTGAGAGTTTGGTCCACCAGGCTGTTGCTTGGAGGGGCCCGCAGGCCCACATACCCACCACAGCCCGGCTGATCCGGAACTTCTCTTAGAAAACAGCCCAGTTTTCTCTTGAAGATGTCCACGGTTGTTCCGGCAATATTTCTTAAAGTTGCTGGGAGGACGTTGAACAACCGCGGACCTCTGATGTTTATACAGTGTTCTCTGATTATGCCTATGGCACCTCTGCTCTTCACTGGTTCAATCTTGCATTTTCTTCCATATTGTTCACTCCAGTACGTGTATTTTACTGTGTAGTTTTGGGACTTGGCCCTCCAGTATTTTTCATGTGTATATTATTTGGTATCTCTCGCGTCTCCTTTCTAGAGAGTACATTTGGAGAGCTTTGAGACGATCCCAATAATTTAGGTGTTTTATCTCGTCTATGCATGCCATATATGTTCTCTGTATTCCCTCTATTTCAGCAATCTCTCCTGCTCTGAAGGGGAAAGTGAGTACTGAGCAGTACTCGAGATGGGACAACACCAGTGACTTGAAGAGTACAACCATTGTGATGGGATCCCTGGATTTGAAAGTTCTCGTAATCCATCCTATCATTTTTCTGGCTGACGCAATATTTGCTTGGTTATGCTCCCTAAACATTAGATCATCGGACATCATTATTCCCAAATCCTTGACATGCTGTTTTTCTACTATGGGCAGATTCGATTGTGTTTTGTACCCTGTATTTTGTTTCAGATCCTCATTTTTGCCGTACCTGAAATTTATCACTGTTCAACATCATGTTATTTTCTGCTGCCCAATCGAAAACTTTGTTGATATCTGCTTCTATACATCTATAGCCACACTAGGCAGACCCCCACCAGGCAAATGAAAATAAAAACAAAAGAAAAACCCTGCAAAAGTACACCGTTCCCAGAGGCAACAGGAAACGGTTGCCGCTTAGGTGGCAGGTTGTGCAACACCTTGACGCCCTAACCAGCACAATACCAGTCCCTACCCAGGGCCAAACAAGGGCCGCAAGCCCCACCTGGCCCCAAGGGCGAGGCAAATGCAGAGCAGCAAGAAGCTCTATGGGAATGGCTCGTGAACGCCCCAGGGAAGATAACCCTGTCCGCAGGGGCAGTACTCACAGGGCGCTTAGGGAAGGAAGCCCCTAAGCGCATGCAGCCTTGGTACTGATGAGGAACACCTGGCCACCGCACAACACACAGCAGTGAACACTGCGAAAGGCAAACACCGCCTAGGAAGCTGAGGCCAGAGAAGCGTCTATCCCAGTTGACATTAGCTTACGAACTGATGCTAAGCACCCGGCGTGGTGAGGTCCGGGGCTCTCCCCTCCCCCTCTTGGGGTGGGGAGGGCTACGCGGATGATCAGTGCGGCAGTAAAGTGTGATGTTTGCTTGTTTCCTTGGGATTGTAGGGAGTTTCTACCTCTCTGTTCAGTTTTCTGTTTTAGTTTTTACCATGTGGGGTTTGTTTTGTTATGCCTACCTTTCTGGGTGCCTAACCCCGGTCAGTGGCAGATAAGGAAAACCCCAACCACAAAGGGGGTTTTCCAGGGTCATTGCTCCCTGAAACCTCTCTGAAGGGGCCAGGTTCTGGCACTGGTCCCTGGTAGGTCTGAACTCCTTAGCTAATGTCCCAGTCTAATATAACATACATTAGCCCGATAAGCTCCAGGGAGCCATAGGGGCTTACCCAGAAAATGGCGTTTCGTTACATTCAACGCTGTTTTTTTCTGTACTTCAAGAAACATTTCTACTACATGACGAAGATTGAGGAAGTGGGACAATTATTTTCCTGTAGACAATCACTTGATGGATGTATGAAATAGCAAGGAAATATTTTCAGATGCCATGTAATGACATGGTTGCTGGAACAGTTTTGTGTTCATGGCAAAGGTTTTTTACATGGCTCATGATCTTGACAATACTAGTGAAAATTGTGAGAAGCCCAGGAGGAAGCCATTTAGATGCCTAAGCCTTCCAATGAATGAAGCAGTACACACCTACTGCATTATCTGCTTTGGCTTTGACATTTGGTGGGAAGCATGAACTTGACCCAATCATGGGGTGAAGCTCCATCAATGATGAGTCCAGCAAGATTATTCCAACTAATGCTATGCTTGTTGAAAATCAATGACACAGCATCCATAAAATCATAGGTCATGCTTGACATTTTAAGATTTTGACAGCAAAGAAATCCCTTCTTGATGCTGTTACTGAACAGGTATTGACAGTAAATTAACAGCTGACAGGACGTTGCTATATCAGTGGACTCGTCCACCTGTGCTCACCTAGTTGTGCTTGTGGGGGTTGCTCAGCTCTTTGTTCTTGAGAAGCATATCAGTGAACTAGAAAAGATGCAAAAACATGCAACTACATGGCTTCTGGAACTGACGAACAAGAGCTATAAAGAGAGGCTAATGATGGTATCATCACTATGTACAAAATAGTAACAGGAGTTAACAAAATGAGCAAAAAAGAATTCTTGAAAACCTGCATCTTCAAGAACAAGAGGTGATGGACTGAAGGAAACCAAATTGCCAAAAAAATATTAGAAAGTTCTTTTCTGGGGAGAGCCCCTTCGGCTTCCCTGGAGCTTACTTGGCTGATATGCTAACTTTGGCATCAGTCATGTGTATGGAGTTCAATGGGCCTACCGGGGACCACGCGCCAGAACCTGGCCCCCTCAGAAGAGGCAAGGGAAGCAATGGCCTATAGAAACCCCTGTGTGGTTGGAAGCATTCTATGTCTGCCATCGACCGGGTCAGGCACCCAGAAAGGTAAGCATCCCTAAACAAACCTCTATTCTGGTGAAAATATTGCTACCAAAAGCCGAACAAATGGATAGAACTCCCCTAAACGAAACGAGTAAATGATCATGATGTCACACGTCGCCGCACCACTGTCTGTGCAGCTTTCCCCCTCCCCGGGAGGGGGGAAGGGGGAGTCCCAGACCCCACACGTCGGCTATCCACCCTTTAGTTCTCCAACTGATGCTAGAGGTGAAGGTTGTGTGCTAGGCTCCAGAGTTTTCAGCACTGTGCTTAGAGTGTGGTGGCTGTCTTCGAGGGGTGCGAGAGCCAGGAGTTATTCTATGGTACTTGGGCTGTATATGCCTAGGGTTCTCATCCCTAGGTGCCCTGTAAGTACTGCCCTTAGGGCTTGGGGCTACCTTCCACAAGCTCCTCGGGACCTGCCTCTGCTAGGCCGTATTACTGCTCGGTTTTTCGGCCGCCCTTTGGGTGCTTGGGGGTTTTGTCTTCCTTGTTTACCTTAGGGTAAGAGGCAGTTTGCACTGGTAGGGCGCAGGGTGCTGCGCAGCTTGTTTTTACCACTCACAGCGGCCGGCTCTGTTCCTTGGGGTATGTTGTCCTCTTGCAGGGTTCTGTTTTGTTTTTGCCTTGTGTTGGGGGGGGGGGGTCTGCCTTGCTTCCCGAATTGTGTCTGGCCTGTGTACGTTTTTTTCTGGTGGAGCCCCCTGCTAGGTCCCTGTGAGTGTACCTGTAAAATGAACCCTGGGATTCACTTTATAGACAGTTGTTGGGTAGTTGTGGGCGCCAGTTAGCAGTACCCTGCCTGCGATTACCTGGGCGTGAGTCCCTTTTGGTAAATGCTCAGGACCCTGGGAATCCCCAAGGGGGCACGTGGGTCCAATGGATGTGTCCTCGGAGTCCCCCCCTTCTCTTCGTGCGAGTTCGAGGGTTGCTCGGTCCCTTTGACTCTGGGAGACCCTCACGGTTTTTGCCTCCGTCACGCTGCCTGTTGGGTTGGTGCCACTTTCAACCCTGAGTCCTGCGAGTTCTGTTGCTTGCTGGTGACTCAATTTACCCAGTCTAATGATGATCTTCGGGTACAGGCAGCGCAGGCGTTGCATGTACACTTTCGGCTGGTTGCTCACCCGGATACCCCGAGGCTGCCCCGTTTTGCCTATAGGGACCCGGACTTAGGGGTGGGGGTCGCTTCGACCCTGGCTCAGTCCGCGCCCCCTAGTCCTTCCTGATCAGTGGTTCGTTCTCCCCCCCCCCCCCCTGCTTCCAGCTTCAAAACGTCTGAGGGGTTTCGAAGTCTGGGGAGGGTTTAGATGGTCTTGAGTCTCAGGCGGTCTCAGGGGATGCCCCTTCCGGTGTGGCGACGGAGGCCTTTGAGTCCGATCTCCCAGCCGAAGCCTCTGGGTCTGACTGGTGGGCCCCCTTCTGTTCGGCTTACTCGGCTGTGCCGTCTTTTTCTTTAGGGGCCGGTGCTTTGGGGGATGACTCGGCCCCGGGTCCCGGGGGGGAGGGGATCCTGGGGCTCAGGAGGGGCTGACTTTGGGGCCTTGGGCCCCGCTGGACCCCGCCTGGGTTTTTCTACCCTCGGAGCGGGGCTTATTGTTACAAGGAGTGGGGTTCTCTTTTCCCCCCTCTGTGTACAACTTAGATTTGGTGTTTGCCCCTCCCCGGGTTCTGTAATGTGTCCCCTCGGGTGCGGCGGTTCCGTCTGTCCGGAGGTTTTCAGCTTCCCGCATCCAATCGTCTGTGGTGGGGGCAGCCCTAGCAGCTTACCTCCTGCATGACCCAGATTACACCTCGGTGATGGATTTGTCGTCTTTCAGGTTTGGGACTTCATTCTCTTTTTGGGTCCGTTACGAGGTTCCAGAGTCGTCCTGGCTGGCGGACTGTCCTGTCTTTGCATTGGAGGCCTGGCACTCTTTCTGTTGTTCCAGCACGTTTGAGTGGCACGAAGTTTCGACTGTGGTTCAGGTTTTCCTGGGGGGGCGACCTTGAGCACCTCAATGAGTGCTTGTTTGCTCCTGCCCTTTCCCGGGATGTTGGTGTTCTGCAGCTTCATGTGCTGGGTCCCTCCCTTTCGGCTATGCAGGTGGCCGAGGATTTGTGCGCCAGGGGCCTCTTGGCTTGGGTCTTGTGCTTCTTTTCCCTCCTGGAGCTGTATTTTTACTGGCTTGGCTAAGATGTGGGAGCGCTCGGGGCCGTTCCGGGGCCCGATGTCTTGGCTCGGCTGCTCGCGTGTAGGCAGCTTTGGTTAAGCTGTTTGCGCTGATCTTGCGGGATGCGGTTGCCCAATTTTACGCTTCCCGGCTCGCGTGTCAACAGGTGGTGCCTGCCTCCTTTCTGGAATCTGCCTGGGTCCTGGCTCTTAGGATGCCTTCGCCCTTTTATCCACTACTTTTTGCTCCTGCGGCTGTAGCACAGCCCGAAGCATCTGGCTGCTTCGGCCAGTTACCGTCTGATGTCGGACTTGTTGGTTCTCCGGGGGTCCCCAGGGGGGAGGGGGCCTACCCGGAAGGGTCGTGCCAGGGTTCGGGATTCCTCTTGTCGTGGTAGGCCACTGGAGCCAGGTTCAGGCTTGGCTCCGCCTTCGGACCCACCTTCGGCTGGTCTGCGCGGTGTTCGCTCTGTGCGGGGTTCTGGGTCTCATAAGGGGTGCCGGCTCTTTCGTGGTTCGCCCCATTGATGGGGCGATGGCAGGGAGGCTTGCGTTGTTCGCTCATGCCTGGTCCCACGATTTGTGGGCGTTTCGGGTCGTTTCCTTTGGCCTGCGGTTGCGTCGAGTGGCCCCTACTCCTTCGGGGGGTTCAGGGCTGGCGGGGCAGGCTTCTTCTCCTGTGTTCCGTTGAGTCGTATTGGAGTGGCTTCGCTTGGACGTTGTCGAAATGATGTCGTCCCTCAGATAGGTTTCCCGTCTGTTTCAAGTGCTGAAACGGGACTGTGCGGACCTGAGGTTCATTCTGGACTTGTCCTATCTGAACCCCTGGGTTCATTGCCCATCCTTTCGGATGACTACGCTGTCTCAGGTTCGGCTCCTGTTGGAGCCGGGTTCTTGGATGGTGTCCCTGGACCTCTGGGACGCTTATTGGCATGTCCCGATTCATCTGGGGTTCAGGGACTGGCTCGGTTTTGTTGTGGGGCGTCAATGTTACCGCTTTCGTTGTCTCCCATTTGGGTTGAATCTGGCATTTCGCGTGTTCACACGCCTTACGCGGGTCGTCGTGGCCCATCTGCGTTTTTTCGGTGTTCGGGTGTTGGCCTACCTCGACAACTGGCTGGTTTGGGCTCCCAGCCGATCCAGTTGTCTGCTAGCCAGGGATTTGGTTCTTAACCAGCTCGCCTGGTCCGGGTTCTTGGTGAACTGGAGGAAGTCCAATCTGGTGGCCTCCCAGGTTCGGTCGTGGCTGGGTCTTGTGTGGGACTCATGGACCACTTCCTTGTCTGTTCCTCCGGAGTCTCTCCTCCGGATGCGATCCCGTTCGCACCTGCTTCTGAGGGGCTCCCGGGTCACCCGGCGGTTGCTCGACGGTTTGTGCGGGAGCCTGAACTTCGCGATGTTGGTCTACCTGCCGGGTCAGGTTTGGCTTCGTCGGCTGTTCTGGTTCCTTCGGGGATGTCTCTTCCGCCTCTTTCGCGATCGCTGGGTTCGACCTCCGGGGGCCTTTCGTCGGATAGACGATCTGGCTCCATTCGGACTGCTCCTCGGTGGTTTATTGCCTGAACCGGGGGGATTCGATGCAGTCCTTGGTTCTTTGAGGCTGGTTGTTTTGGGTGACTTGTTTGCTGAGTTCTTGGGGTTTGACTCTCTGGGCCTTTCACGTGCAGGAAGTGTCCAACGTCTTGGCCGACGGCCTGTCTCGTTTCGTTCCCCTCTCCACGGAATGGACGGTCGACGCTGACTCCTTTAGTTGGGTTTGCCGGACATTTGGTCACCCCGAGGTGGACCTCTATTTATTAACTAGTTAATAATTTATTAACTCTAGTTGTCACATGGCCATGTATTATGACTAATCAAAGTTATCATTTGATTGTTCACCAACATTTCTTTCCAGGCAGTGGGAAATCTTGGAATATTCAGCACTGCAGAGTCCATTGTGAAGTTCAAGGATTTCATTGAAGCATCTAGAACAGGAAATATCATAATTATGAAAGAACTTTTGATGAAGGGAGTAAGAGTTTTGCCACTGGGGTCCCGTAAAGACCCTCTACTTGAAGCCATCCTTGGGGGCCACCGGGATGCAGTGTTTCTGTTGTTGAGTGCTGGTGCACCTCTCTGTGCCCATGGTTTGGTAGGCAACACACCATTTGAAGCTGCACACAGTACTGTTGGTCTCCCTGCTCTCTTTCCTGCACTCATCAGGAAGGTTAGTCAATATTGTTTGACATTTCTCATTAACAAATTTATATGATTTTACTATGAGTATTATCTTGCTGCAAAGAACCATTGGATAACATATTCATGAATAAGAGTTCAGTCAATTATCCTGGGCCATTATCAAGTCATTCTCTCTCTCTCTCGCTCTCTCTCTCTCTCGCTCTCTCTCTCTCTCTCTCTCTCTCTCTCTCTCTCTCTCTCTCTCTCTCTCTCTCTCTCTCTCTCGCTCTCTCTCTCTCTCTCTCTCTCTCTCTCTCTCTCTCTCTCTCTCGCTCTCTCTCTCTCTCTCTCTCTCTCTCTCTCGCTCTCTCTCTCTCTCTCTCGCTCTCTCTCTCGCTCTCTCTCTCTCTCTCTCTCTCTCTCTCTCTCTCTCTCTCTCTCTCTCTCTCTCTCTCTCTCTCTCTCTCTCTCTCTCTCTCTCTCTCTCTCTCTCTCTCTCTCTCTCTCTCTCTCTCTCTCTCTCGCTCTTTCTCTCGCTCTTTCTCTCGCTCTCTCTCTCTCTCTCTCGCGCGCTCTCTCTCGCGCGCTCTCTCTCGCGGCTCTCTCTCTCGCGCGCTCTCTCTCTCTCGCGCTCTCTCTCGCTCTTTCTCTCTCGCTCTCTCACTCTCTCACTCACTTTCTCACTCACTCTCACCCTCTCAGCATCTCAAGATAACAGTCCCACATAAGAGACTAATGCACAAGCTGGAGATGCAGCCAGGAGTGAAAGGGAAGGTACTCCAATGGATAAGGGAGTACCTAAGTACTGACACCAAGTCACTGTGAGGGGGTGAGGTCTTGGAGTGGTGAGGCATCACCAGTTGAGTCCCACAGGGATCAGTCCTTGCACCAATACTGTTTCTGATAAAAGTAAATGATATCCCAGAGAGAATAGACTCGTTCCTTTCAATGTTACACAACTTATCAATGTGTATCACCACTTAAAAAATACTAACAGGAATTGACCAAATTGACAAAGGAATTCCTGAAACCAGCAATCACGAACAAGAGGACACAGATTCAAGCTAAGAAAGCAAAGGTGCTGAAAAAATATTAGAAAGTTTTCTTTTGCAAACACAGTGGTAGACGGTTGGAACAAATTAAGGGAGAAGGTGGTGGAGCCAAAATCGTCAGTAGTTTCAAAGCGTTATACGACAAAGAGTCCTGGGAAAATGGGATACCATGAGTGTAACTCTCATCCTGTAACTACACTTAGTAATTACACTCGCTCACTCACTCATACATAGTTTCTGCATCTATATGGTAGCTTTTTATGCGTAATTCAATCTAATATTGCCTTATTTTCCCTTAAACTGTTCATTATCTTTTTGATATGTATCACATGTCCATATCTACATACTGTATCTACTTTAGTTAAATTTAAACATTTGCCTTAAAACAGTTGTTCAGTTCAGAATTTTTTGTGACAAGCTCTTGTATGTATACAGTTTTAAATAATGTTTGGTATTAAATAATATCTGAAATTATAAATACAATAGGAACAAATGGAATACAATTTTATCCCAGTTAAGAAGCTGAATCAACATTTAGTCTAGTGTTAATAGTTAACATTCATTTATATTAGTTTTCTTGCAGAGTATTATTGATTTGTATTTTTACATTAATTTCAGGCATTCTGTGATAGATTACAAGCAGAAATAGATATGATACCAGGTTCTGATAATCTACAAAACATTATGAAGGATGGTATGTCTTACCTTAAGACCATTGCTGAAATATCAGGACATAGATTAGGAGAAGAACTCAGTACATGGTTGGATTGTTGGCCAACCAGTACTTCAGTGAATTACACTGACATGTTGGCATTGGCAGCGGCTTCAGGACTAACCCTTACCTGTCAGCTGCTGGGTGTGGCTGGGGTTTCTCTCAACCCTTTACCAAATCACCTTCATCCACTTGTTCAAGCACTCGAGAACAACCATCATGATACTGTGTATTCTTTGTGCCGTGACTTGAAGATGAACCCTTATAGTACAAAATGTGATTTAAATAAAGTTTCTGAACAGCTTATAAATGATTTACTAGAGAGTGAATTGGAAAAGTTTGAAAGAAAGTTACGGAAAAAAGAAATAGGAGACTCGGCCACAAAAGATCTCTTGGATTATGCAAAAGGAATTACAGTGGGACAGACTGATAAACAAATAAGAACATTTCTTTATTTGCTTGCTGAACTGAGCCTGGTGACAGTGTTTCATAGGACAAGAAGAATAAACACTAGTCTGGATATTAATGGAGTAGTGCATCAAGCCTCAGGAAGCACAATGCTACACATTGCTGCAGCTTATGGCAAGATTAACATGGTTGAGTATTTGTTATCACAAGGTGCCAGCCACACTTGTATGACCTCTGGAGGCCTCACTGCTGCACATCTGGCTGCAGTCAGAGGCCACAAGGAGTGTATGGACTACATGGTAGAGTACACAGGAAGTGCAATGGAGTGTAGTATTGGTTTGAAGCCTTCAGTAATGTTGGAACATTTCAATGAGAATGTTAAGAGATGTCATCTGGATCTGTTGTCCTCTAAAGAAGTATCTTTAATATCAAATGCAAAGGGAGATCATGCAAAAGCCAAGCTAATACTAACAGGCAGAAGCCACAAGCTAGGAATATTAACCCCTACTACTCTTCAAGATAACTTGCTTCAAGAAGACAAGAAAATGGAAGGAATTATATCGAAGGAATTTGAAAGCTCTGTGCAGCATGAGGTTCACATTTTATTTGATAACATTAAAAAAGTAGATGCAAGATTTTCTGGCAAAGTTTTGTCATATACTCCCTTAACTGAAAAAATTGAATTTTTCCTTCCAGATAATTTTGAATTTTACCTTGAACTTGATGATTATAATGCCCTAAAGGATGGCTGCATCACTATAAAAGAGATGGAAAGAAATGAAATAAAAAATGGAGAATATTTATTAGGTATATCTTCATCTAGAGATCAAATGCTCTTCACAGGAGCAAATTTTAGAAACTTATTTTGTAAAGCTGCCCATGAGGCTCTCATAACAACTAGCTTTAAAGGCCTTGCACTAATACCACCTTTCCTTGCTCACACTTCTACTGGAGCATGCGTTTATGTAGCTTACCGGGAAAAGCAGATAACATTACTGTTGCGTCTAATGCTTACCCCAGTCTTGAAGGTCCCATGTCCACAAGGGCTTCAATTACATAAGTTGCCTAAACGATTCCAGAATCACTTGCAATCCTACACCTATGAGCATATAGCCAACACATCTGAAGGCAATTGGATGTACATGTGCAATTTTGCACATAAATGTATCATTGCTGGTCTAAGAGAAGATGAGCATATTGTTCTCCAAGCATGCTGTTACTTTGCCAAACTGCTGAGTACTTGCTGGTGGCTACCGAAGCAAGAGCAGCGGCATCATGGCAGGTCATGGCAGCTTTATCCAGTAGGTATAAATGTCCCCAGCCTCCGAACCTTGAAATCGCTTTTCCTTGAAGAGTTAATTGAACAAGAAGAACTATTGTGGAGTAAGGAGCATTTTATTGAAAGAATTATAAGTATTTTAAGAAGAGGGTCATATCCCGGAAAAATTACTGGATCTTTTACTTCGCCACCACAGTGGGACCCTAAGCTGAGTGGAGGAATCCAGGCTACTATTCAATTCCTTCAAAATCTACAGAAAAAATATCATGATAAATTGAAAATTAATAATATTTTTAGTAAGTAGTGACACTGTATCAAATATATCAAGAGTGTTACAGATCTCTATAATCTTTGACCAGCGTCATGTTTATTAAGCGTGAAAGGGAGAGAAAAAGAGAGAGAGAGAGAGAGAGAGTGAGAGTGAGAGTGAGTGTGAGTGTGAGTGTGAGTGTGAGTGTGTGTGTGTGTGTGTGTACTCACCTATATGTACTCACCTATATGTGCTTGCAGGATCGAGCATTGACTCTTGGATCCCGCCTTTCGAGCATCGGTTGTTTACAGCAATGACTCCTGTCCCATTTCCCTATCATACCTGGTTTTAAAATTATGAATAGTATTTGCTTCCACAACCTGTTCCTGAAGTGCATTCCATTTCCCCACTACTCTCACGCTAAAAGAAAACTTCCTTACATCTCTGTGACTCATCTGAGTTTCAAGCTTCCATCCATGTCCTCTCGTTCTGTTACTATTCCGTGTGGACATTTCGTCTATGTCCACTCTGTCAATTCCTCTGAGTATCTTATACGTTCCTATCATGTCCCCCCTCTCCCTTCTTCTTTCTAGTGTCGTAAGGCACAGTTCCCTCAGGCGCTCTTCATACCCCATCCCTCGTAGCTCTGGGACGAGTCTCGTTGCAAACCTCTGAACCTTTTCCAGTTTCATTATATGCTTCTTCAGATGGGGACTCCATGATGAGGCGGCATACTCTAAGACTGGCCTTACGTAGGCAGTGTAAAGCGCCCTAAATGCCTCCTTACTTAGGTTTCTGAATGATGTTCTAACTTTTGCCAGTGTAGAGTACGCTGCTGTCGTTATCCTATTAATATGTGCCTCAGGAGATAGATTAGGTGTTACGTCCACCCCCAGGTCTCTTTCACGCGTCATTACAGGTAGGCTGTTCCCCTTCATTGTGTACTGTCCCTTTGGTCTCCTATCTCCTAGTCCCATTTCCATAACTTTACATTTGCTCGTGTTGAATTCTAGTAGCCATTTCTCTGACCATCTCTGCAATCTGTTCAGGTCCTCTTGGAGGATCCTGCAATCCTCATCTGTCACAACTCTTCTCATCAACTTTGCATCATCCGCAAACATCGACATGTAGGACTCTACGCCTGTAAACATGTCGTTAACATATACAAGAAATAGAATTGGTCCCAGCACCGATCCTTGTGGTACTCCACTTGTTACTGTTCGCCAGTCCGACTTCTCGCCCCTTACCGTAACTCTTTGGCTCCTTCCTGTTAGGTAGTTCCTTATCCATTCTAGGACCTTTCCCCCCACCCCCGCCTGCCTCTCGAGCTTGAACAGCAGTCTCATGTGCGGTACTGTATCAAAGGCTTTTTGGCAGTCCAGAAATATGCAGTCTGCCCAACCATCTCTGTCCTGTCTTATCCTCGTTATTTTATCATAGAATTCCAGAAGTTTTGTTAGGCACGATTTCCCTGTCCAGAATCCATGTTGATGTTTGTTCACAAACCTAATGTTCTCCAGGTGTGCAACCAGTCGTAGCCTAATTATTCTTTCCAGTATTTTACAGGGGATGCTTGTCAGTGATACAGGTCTGTAGTTAAGTGCCTCCTCCCTATCTCCTTTCTTGAAGATCGGCACGACATTTGCCTTCTTCCAGCAACTGGGCAATTCTCCTGACATAAGTGACTCATTAAAGATCATTGCCAGAGGCACGCTGAGGGCCTGTGCTGCTTCTTTTAGTATCCACGGTGATACTTTGTCTGGTCCAACTGCTTTAGTTGCATCTAGAGTTGTCAACTGTTTCATTACCTCCTCTGCTGTCACCTCTATATCTGATAGTCTTTCATCTAGGGTAACCCCTTCCAACAATGGGAGCTGCTCAGGCTCGGTAGTGAACACTCCATGGAAACTGGCATTCAGTGCCTCGCAGATTTCCTTGTCACTTTCAGTATATGCCCCCTCTGTCTTCCTTAGTCTTGTCACTTGGTCGTTCACCGACATTTTTCTTCTTATATGACTGTGTAGTAACTTAGGTTGTTTTTTCGCTTTGATTGCAATATCGTTCTCATAGTCCCTTTCCGATGTTCGTCTTATGTTAATGTAATCGTTCCTAGCTCTGTTGTATCTGCTTCTGTTGTCCTCTGTTCTTAGTCTTCTGTACTTCCTCCACTCCCGCCTGCTGGCCATTTTTGCTTCCTGACACTGTCTATTAAACCATGGGTTATTATATTCCTTCTTATTTTTTCCCTTTACCGTTGGTATAAATCTCTCTTCGGCCTCCTGGCATTTCTGTATGACTAGGTCCATCATATCTTGGACTGTTTTTCCTCTAATTTCTTCCTCCCACTGCACTTCACCCAGATAGTCCCTTATCCTCATATAGTCCCCTTTCCTGTAGTCAGCTCTCCTTTCCCAGATCTCTTGTCCCATGGTCATAATTTTGAATTCCATCATGTAGTCAAAGACTAGGACACAATGGTCACTGGCCCCTAGAGGTATTTCATGCTCTAAATTCTCGATATCTTCTACGTTCTGGGTGAAAATCAGGTCTAATAGGCTCGGTGCATCTCCTCCTCTTTCCCTTGTGTCTTCCTTCACATGTTGTGTCAGGAAATTCCTGTCTATAACATCTACTAATTTTGCTCCCCACGTTTCATCCCCTCCATGGGGATTCCTTGATTCCCAATTTATCTCTCCATGATTTAGGTCCCCCATGATCAGCAGCTTCGCTCTCGTTCTGTGGGCTAGTGTTGCTGCCTTCTGCAGTTCATCTATACATGCTTTGTTGTTGTCATCATACTCCTGCCTGGGTCTTCTACTGTTTGGTGGGGGATTGTAGATTACCATGATCACAATCTTCCTCCCATCTACTGTCAGAGTTCCATGTATGAAGCTTGTGCACTCATTGGTAACTCGATTTCCCAGGTCTTCAAACTTCCATTTCCGCTTTATTAGGAGTGCTACTCCCCCTCCCTGTCTCTGTGTCCTCTCTTTTCGTATCACCTGGTACCCTTCAGGAAAGATTGCATCTGAGATCATGTCATTAATTTTAGTTTCCACAATTGCAACTATGTCAGGATCTGCTTCACTCACTCTTTCTTTTATCTCTTCTGCTTTATTAGATACCCCATCAGCATTGGTGTACCAAACCTTGAGATTCTTCATGGAAACTCTTGTACCAGAGTTCTCCCTTTCTCTGGGGGTCTGGGGGGATCTGGGGGATGTCTGGGGGGTGACTGGGGGCAGAGGGGATCTGGGGGATCTGGGGGGTGTCTGGGGGATGACTGGGGGCGGGGAGGGTCCGGGGGATGTCCGGGGGGATCCAGGGGGTGTCTGGGGGGGTCCGGGGGGTGTATGGGGGGTGAAAGAGTTCAGGAGGGGTGCTTGGGGGGCTACTGGGGGCTGGGCTTCTAGGAAGGTAGGTAGGAGGGTCTGGGGTAGGGCCTGGGTAGGTAGGTCTGGAGTAGGAAGGGCATACTGGGTCTGAAGATTAGGGAGGGCATAGAGGGGTTGGGAGATGGCGTAAGGTTGGGAGACAGATAGAGGTTGAGAGGTTGGGAGGGGGATGGATAGAGGGGGTGGGGGGGACCTCCCACCTCCCTCGCAAGGGTGGGGGGTCACATGGAAGGAGAGGGGATGAGGAGGGGTGAGGGCAGGGCAGGCTTTGGGTGTTGAGGGGATGAGGTCTGGGTGGGTTCTTGGGGTTGAGGGGATGAGGTCTGGATGGGATTTGGGGTTGAGGGGATGAGAGCTGGGTGGGTTTTGGGGGTTGAGGGGACGAGGGCTGGACGGGTTTTGGGGGTTGAGGTGATGAGGGGGTCCTTGGAATGTGGGATGAATTTGACTCCAGTGGGGTCAGAGGGTCAAGGGATGTGCTGGGGAGATAAGCAGGGGCGGCTGATTTGGGAAAGGGGTGACCTGAGAAGCACGTGTGAGCTGGTTAGCATGGGGTGGATTAGCACTGGGGTGTGTAGCTGCGCTCAAATGGGAAGAGTCGTATTGTTGTTTGCTTGCTCTGTGGGCAATCTGTTCCTCCTTCGTCATGAATTTGTCAATAAATACGTTGTAGTAATTTTCGCTACCTCTGAGTAGGTGTTTGTGATGCAGTATGTAATCCACTGCCTCTTCGTTAGTGAACTGTACCAGGACAGGTCGTTTCCTGTTACAGTTGTATGGTCCAATGCGTCGGTGGACTTGCACCTCATTCCCTGCCATCTGGGCTCTCATGTCTCTCAAGATCCCCTGTAGTTCCAAATCCTCATCTCCATCCTTTCCTGCCTCGATGGTGCCCTGGCTTCAAGTAATCCATGGATTATGATTGTCCTCTTTCTCAGTTCAGGGTCATGCTGGTGGCCCTCTCCCTGGCTGACCCCCACCCCTCCTACACCCGCTACTCCACCTACTACTACTACTTCCCCTTCCCCTGCCAAGCTTCCCTTATTCCTGCCAAATTCATTAGTAAGCCTAGATATTTCTCCTTGCCATTCTACCCTGCTCTTCGTGATTTCCTCTTGAATATAATCCATAAACTCTTGTTTGAGTCTTTGAACCTCGTCCTGTATCTTATTAAAGACTTCACTTTTAATCCCCTGGATTAGATCACCTATCCAAACATCCCTCTTCTCTACAAATTTCCCAATCATCTTCTCCACAAACCTATCTTCTTCCTCAATCATAATACTGTTGGACCTAGACACCCTTCCTGACCTAGTGATTGCTATAATGCAACCTTACCCACAGGGGTTCCAAGTATCTTACCGTCCTGCTAACACAATAGGTGAGTGAATTTCCAAGCGTCGTCCCGTGGTGGTAGGAGGGTTGCTGCCGGGGTGAGGTCACGCGGTCAGAGGTCGGTGAGGTCTGCTCCACACTACACACTGCCACAATACTACAACTATTTTGAATTACGCTATTTAAACTGTTTTTCTTCACTACTTTATGGCTCTGGCCAAAACTCAAGGTTTTTTCATTCACTTGTACACACTTTTTCACTTCGAAGTTGCCTGATTACCCCTCCCACTCCACTAGTGAACCTGGAGCTCCCAACCCACGTCCACCCAACACGATGGTCACAAGACAAGTGTGTGTGTGTGTGTGTGTGTGTGTGTGTGTGTGTGTGTGTGTGTGTGTGTGTGTGTGTGTGTGTGTGTGTGTGTGTGTGTGTGTGTGAATGTGTGTGTGTGTGTGTATGTATGTATATATATATATATATATATATATATATAATATATATATATATATATATATATATATAT